AGTGTATCATGTAGTAAAATATTATTAAGACTTTTAGAGGTATATAGAATATGCTAAATGATTATCATTTTAAAAATAAAAATAGAAAATTTTCAATTCGAATCAGAGTGGAACCGCCTATTTCAGATTTATTTAGGTTCAGATTTTAACATTCACATAAACTTTAATCAGCTGTTGAACCGACAGTTCTGGTTCAGTTCCGATTAATCTACAATATGATTCGATTACAATTCAAAATGAACCGATGGCCATGCCTAATTTATGTTATACTGTTATGTTCCATTTCAAGTATTATTATTTAAGATAATTGAATAAGAATTAAACAAATGATTAAAAAATTTCAATTGTAAAAAAAAAAAAAAAAAATTGATTAAATTATATTTTATCAATTCTGTAAACAATTAATATTTGTGAAGATACCGAAGAGACAAGCATAAAATTTGAAAAAAGATAATTAATATTTCTTTATTTTCTAAAAATGACAAGTGAAATGCAATAAAATAAAAAGTTCAAAATGACACTTAAATAGGAGTATGGTATCAAGTTAGGGTATGTTTATTGCTTTATTTACAACTGAATGAGATATTGTAGTAGATTTATAAATAAATTATCCTAATTAATGAATTCAAATTAAAAATGTAGCTTTCAAGTTCTAATTGTATTAATACATTAAAAATGGATGGAATTGTATTATTACAGCTTGAAAACTCATTTTGTCATTGCAAATAATTTTAGAGTTTAATTATATTCCCAATGAGATTTTGAAATATAGATGCTCTGAACACAAACGACTATATCAATGCTTTGATGGTTCTTTATAGGGCCCAGTTATCTTGATCAGGATGTTTCCTTTCTCGAGGGATTCTCTTGAAGGAAAAAAAAAAAAAAAAAAACTATAATTGATTAAATTATATTTTATCAATTCTGTAAACAATTAATATTTGTGAAGATACCAAGAGACAAGCATAAAATTTGAAAAAAGATAATTAATATTTCTTTAATTTTCTAAAAATGACAAGTGAAATGCAATAAAATAAAAAGTTTCTAAAATGACACTTAAAATAGGAGATAATGGTATCAAGATTAGGGTATGTTATTGCTATTATTACAACTGATGAGATATTGTAGATTTATAAATAAATTATCCTAAATTAATGAGATCAAATTAAAAAATGTAGCTTTCAAGTTCTAATTGTTATTAATACATTAAAAATGGATGGAATTGCTATTATAAGCTTGATAAACTCATTTTGTCATTGCAAATAATTTTAGAGTTTAATTATTTTCCAATGCAGATTTTGAAATATAGATGCCTCTGCACACAAACGACTATATCAATGGGCTTTGATGGTCTTATAGGGCCCATTATCTTGGATCAGGATGTTTCCTTTCTCGAGGGAGTTCTCTTTGAAGGCCCATTAACTCGACTGCCACCAGAGACACCTGAGTTGGGCGCAGATGATGTTGTAGAGTGTAGACAAACCCCTCCAATCAAAATCAATTTTGGCACTAGTCCATCAAGATGCAATTACGACAACCATACTAATTGGGGTTAAAAGACGAATCAGAAGAGTTTCATTTAATCTAATGACTCCACTTTTGATTATAAAAACGAATTAAAATTGTAAATATCAAATGTAAAATCACTCATAAGACTCAAAAATAAAAATTGATAAAAGATACATGCATGAATCGTTTGGTAACTTTATTAAATGACAACTTGTCTATTATAACATTCTAACCAGCCGCGGAGGTAGAATTTTTTTTTTTTACTAGGATAATTTATTTAATTTGATTTTAATTTATTGGGATCAATTATATTAAAATTTTAAAATTTTTTTAGTATATGCTTTTTTTAAAATTTTTTTATCAAATTAAACCTATTTTATAAATATTTTTTAAAAATTGAATAGGTGTATTGATCCCACTACATATAACGTTGCTTCGCACTTGATTCTTACCCGGTGTCTATTAAAAGATAATTTCAATATTTTATTTTAGCGCCAATAAAAATTTTTAACTCTGTCACTATTTAAGGATGTTTTTAAAATCAGATTGAATCAACCAGTTGGATTAATTCAACCGCAAACCAGTGGTTAGTCTAATCTGGTTTGACATTTGAAGTCGAAAGACTAAAAAATCGGACAGAATTGGTTCGAAAAGAGAAAACCGAAAAACCAGTCAGACAAAATAAAATTGTATTTTTAAGTTTTGGGAACTATCATTACTTTTGTTTTTACCCTATATGACCCACCTATTATTATTATAATCACATATACATATTTTAATTTATCTAGGGACATGAAAAATAATTTAAAGTGGTGGAGTTTTCTAGAAAAACTTTAAAACCAATAAAAAGATGACAATAAATTTTTTTTTTGAAAAAATATAACAAATTCATTTATGACTTTAATACAAACAATATATTTTCAATTTTTTTTATAAAAATGCTTATTTATCATTTTAGTTAATTAATAAATTTATTTTTTTAAAATATTAATAAATTAACATAATCCTATCATTTTTTCCCTCTTTGTATACTACTTAGACTCAAGGAAAAATTTTCAGATAGTGCTTTTTTCAAGTTGGGACATTGTACTATTATATGAAAGTAAATTTTTTTTTCATTTTTATTTTATTTTAATTTTTGTATTTATTTTGAAAAATAAAATAATAGTAATTACTATGAAAAATAGTAATAAAATTCTAAATATTACATTAGTATGTTATAAGCATCTTTTTTTTTTTTTTTTTCGAGACTTACTTCAACCAGGAACAAACCTGAGCTAGGAGACACCACAATAGTCCCATCGCAACAGGTCCAAAACCAGCGGAGGAGGATCAACAAAATTAAGACTAAAAGTTGTCTCTCGGACAACTGGACTAGTAAGAAGATCTGTTACTTTGTAGGCCTCTCTGAAACATTGACGAAATTCAACCACCCAATCTTTGGATAGCAACTCTTGAACTGCTTTCACAATATTCAAAAAATGTCTAGCTTCACGCAACGCTCTCTGCAACACCTGCAGCACCACCCCAAAATCAGTCTCAATAAGAACCTGGCTATAGCCAAGATCCCAAGCAAGAGTAAGGCCATGAACACCCCATGTAGCTCAGCTACCATTGAAGCACAGCGACCCAAGTTGACTGCAACACCCTCCTGCCACTACCCCTTAAGATCCATTATCACTCCGTCGCACCCACTAGGATCGGAGTTGCCCTTAGTTGTTCCGTCTGTGTTCAGTTTAACCTACCATGCATTGGAGGGCTCCAAGCAACATGACAAATCGAGCGGCAATGAGAATTAACTCCATGAAGCCTGGAGCTCCAAGTTGCATGATTCACTTTAAGTTGAGAAAAAAAAGACTATTCCATCAGGAAGTGATATCATACCAAATGTTCTTAAAAACAACAGTGTTGCGCCCTATCCATATATTCCATTAAACCAACCCCAACACAACAAGGCTACCAAAGCTGTCAAACATGAATGCCTGAAGAAGATGCACATGAGACAACTAGTCCTTAGCTGGTGGCTAGGCAAGAAAAATATGGAGAGAATTCGCAGGAAGAATCTTATCCCACATTTGGCGGGCATAAAAACAGTCCCTAAAGAGATGTTCCGTATCTTTTGCCACCAAACCACACACTAAACAAAGAGGATTAGCTGTAAAACCTCTCTTGCACGCTCCATATTAGTCAGATATATTCATATTGGAATAACCATAAGAACATTCGAATCTTTTCTGACACCTTCAACCAAAAGACGCCCTTTCAAATGCCACTGCTAACCAAACTAGGCTCCCATTTTGCTAACTTATAAGTCGAACCAACCGAGAAGGACCAGAGCTGGTCTCAGACCAGTAATATTCATCCATATTATGAACGTCAGTACTTAGGAACACAGCTCGAAGTACCTCACATATCCGGTCTGGTAAATTGGGTGCGATATTAGGCCAATCCCATTCCCATCTTTCTAGAATGCAGTTACTGACAGATCCTGTAAATGCAAAGGAACCCTCACACTGCATATTCTCCTCAAACCCCCTTAAAAAGGATAGGCAAACTATGAACTATCCCTCGCCACACATTAGAAGCACAACTATTCTGCCTAAAGCCCTCCATCCCCGAACCTCCTTGCATGTACTTACCTCGTCGAATCTAACGCCATAACCCATCAGCCTCATTAAGCATCTGCCATCCTAATTTTGCTAGAAAATCTGCGGTAACCTCCCTACAAGTCTTAATATCCAAGCCACCAAACTCTTTTTGCATAGATATAAGCTTCCAATTCACAAGATGCACATTTGCTTTCCCCATACGAGAAACCCAAACAAATTTGCAATCTTCTAGTCAAAATCATCACAAACGGCCTGCGGCACATACACCAACTGCATTATGTGGTTAGGCAAAGTCGTGAGAACTAATTTCGCTAAAGTCGCTCTACCCGCAAAGGATAAGAGAGAAGCTTTCCATTCCGCTAAACGTTGATCCACTCGTGATAATAATATCTCAAAGTTTGACTTAACAGCTCTACTATGAAAAATAGGAACACCCAGGTACGAGCCGATATTGTCAGTCCTTGACATGCCTTTCTGAGAACATATCAAATTCTGGGTTTCTAATGGGACATTAGCTGAGAAGAAGATTTTGGATTTCCCATAATTAACACATTGTCCTGATAAATCTCCAAAATAAGTCAGGCAAAGAATGATAGTTTCAATCTAGGGGACACTCGCCTCAGCAAACAGAAGCAAGTCATCTGCGAAGAAGAGGTGGGAAACCAGTGGACAACACCTAGAGACTGAAACTGGACACCAACTAGCCTCCTCCACCATCAACGATATTAGGTGACCCAAACGTTTCATAGCCAACACATACAAATAAGGAGAAATGGGGTCTCCTTTGCGTACCCCCAGGTTGAACAAAAGCTTCAAGTATTAAAAGAAATCTTAATATTTCAACAGTTTCCACTTTTTAATGTTAAAATAAAATATTTTAAAATGAAGGGTATTGGGTTTCTTGAGGTTGCTTTCTCCAGACATAGCCCACTAACCTTTGGGGTAATGCACAATGGGGTCATGAGCTATGGATATGCACAATCTGGATTCTGGTGCATCTGGTCTATTCTAATTACTGTATATGCTTTCCTCCCTCAGTTAGCTCTCCTTAACAATATTTCCATTTTCCCAGAGGTAATTAACTGCTAATTCTACACTTAATTAATAACGATTATTTGTTGAAGGTTAAATCTAATAACAAGACTGAAAAATGTAATGGGTACAGGTCAAATCACGGTGGTTTCTCCTATATGCCTTCCTTTTTCTGAGGGCATATGCACAGGATCTAGCTGACTTTGTGTTGTATAAAGGAACTCTCCATATGTGGTGGAATGATCAAAGAATGTGGAATATTAGAGGGCTTTCAAGTTTCATGTTTGGGTTGTTCTGAGTTCATTCTCAAATCCTTAGGTGCGTCTCCACTTAGATTCAATGTGATAAGCAAAGCAGTAGATGATGAACTAACCAAAAGATAAGATAAAGAGTTATTCGAGTTTGGAGTGGCATCACCTATGTTTGTGCCCTTACTAATGGCAGCTTTAATGAACTTAGTCTCATTTTCTTGGGGAGTGTCCGAAATTATGAAGGGAAAGAATATGGAAAGATTAACAATCCAAATGTTTTTATTAGCATTGCTGTAATCAACAGTTGGCCAGTTTATGAAGCTATGGTGTTGAGAAGTGACAATGGAAAAATGCCGGCAAAGTTTAATGTTCTTGGAACAACTTCGACATGCTATTTGCACTGCAGGTTCTTACATTTTCAAGTAAAAGATGTGTTCTTTGCCTGTACTAACAGCTATCAATTCTCCATTGATACTGCTTCTTACAGTGAATGACTAAGATATGTTGTAATGTCTTTATATATATATATATATATATACCTTCATTCATATTGAAAAAGTAAATCTTGATATAAATAAAAATGTAAAATATATATTTTTTCTTTCTTGAAAAGAAGAAAGCTGTTAGAAGTGGGTCAGTCAGTCTAAATTTTTGTTGAAGAAGAAGAAAAGTAGTAGTAGTAGCAGTAGAGGGTCATTCCTTGAGGCTAAAAGGTATAATTACCTTTCTACAACTTCACCCATATGCATTTTTTCACGTATGATGCTAAATCACTCCCACCATTTGATTGCTATGTTTTAAATAGTCGAAACACTCGATTGTAAATTCCTTTTTACGTTCAAATAACAAAATAGAAATAATTAAAAATTAAGGCATTGTAGATATAATTAACCATATTCTAACATATAATCTTATAAGACACTTTGTTTTCCCCAAAATCTTATAGTTTCATTAATGGATGAATTTGTGAAATATAAACAATTTAGAATAATTGATAATTATAACAAAAAGTTTGAATATTGTTGCAATTTTATTTTAGATCTTTTTTTTATTTTTTTTGCAATTCTACCGTAGTAATATGAAATTTTAATTGCATTTATACTCAATATTAAAATTGAAAAATGAGAATATGTTGATAATATTTTACTATTAATGTAAATTAAAAATAAGTTTCAAAATTTTTCTATTCTCTTGTTTTCCATTTTTTTTTTTTTTTTTTTTTTTTTTTTTTATATGTTGATAATATTTTACTATTAATGTAAATTAAAAATAAGTTTCAAAATTTTTTCTATTCTCTGTGTTTTCCATTTTTTTTTTTTTTTTTTTTTTTTTTTTTTTTTTTTTGCTTTCTCCTTCCCAAACACATTTTACTCGTTGCGAGCCATTGCTAGTTTCTTCCATTTAATACTCATTCTGAAAATACTGAACGATAGGGAAAAGAAAAAAGCAAAAAGTTAGGGGATCGTGTTAATTTATTTTTATTTAATTAAAATGGCTTGAATGTGTATGTAACCTATTTATGACTCACATATTATTCAATTTTTCTTTATTTGCTAATCCATTATAACTAAGAGTATACAACATTGATTTAGAAGAAAAACAAGATTGTTAAAATATCCTATGTCTATGGGAATGGGGAGTAACTTACTAGCAACCATTGCGCTATGATGCTAAGCTTCCTTTGGGCTGGCTTTCCAAAGTTTGGATTTGGTATAACAAACAAAATCTAGTGCATAAACTCATCCTTATGTAGAGAATGTACCATCTCATTTGTGCCAGATCTAGTGCAAAACTTTCCTTGAGTGATTACCCCAAACTAAGAAGCTTAGCTAAGTAAAAACCAAAAGCAAGAGCAGATCCATGGATCTGCCTTGACCAAGAGGGCAAATAAATATTAGCGAGAAGGGCCATAAAGGACCGCAAAATAAAAGAAAAAAAATACTGAAATACTAAAACAAAATTAACAAAAAAAAAAAAAAAAAAAAGAGTATGAAAAAAAAAAAAAAAAAAAAAGAGATGAAAAGGGGATTGCCGCGGGCTAAGATCTATTGCCGGCGGCCACCCAAAGGAAAGAAACAAAGACAAAGAAGTTTAGTTTTTAAAGAGAAGGAGAAGCATTTTTTAGAGAGAGGAAAGAGTGTTTGAGCCTCATATTATCCAATAATTAAAAATGTTACATATGCTATATTCACATAAGACATCTAAATTTTTTAGGAGAAAGCTTATAGAACCATCATCTATATCTTGGACTGCCCCACATTTTGAAATGTTAAAGTTTAATATCGATGGATCATTAAAGGGTAAACCTGGACCTAAAGGTATTGATGAGTGCATAGAAACTCTCAGGGTCTTGTCTCTTGTCTATTTTATGAAACTGTGGGTATTCAAGGGTCCAATGAAGCGGAGCTACGTACCATTTTTAGGGCAATTGATTTATTGTCACAACTCACAATCTATATCCTTGCGAAGTAATCCAATAATTATTGAGTCTGACTCTAAGGCTGCTATTTGTTGGATAACACAAAACAGATAAGCGCCCATGGAAGTAGTTGGAACACTTTAATAAGTTTGATTCTATGGGACAATCTTTCACAAATATTTCTTTTACTCATGTTCTGCATGAAGATAATTTTTTTTGTAGATAGTTTGGCAAAAATGGGTGTAGATGCTACAATTTCTTTGATAGCTTGGATATGATGGTTTGGATTGAGATGAGTAATTCTATCTCTTAATTTGGTTGGTTACTAGTTTTCATTATATCTTGGAATTTTTGTGTCGTGTGTTGGTGTTTGGGTGCTTTGAATTTTTCGTTGGAAGAAATATACATATCTATTAGTTTGGGATTCTTTGCTGTCCATTATGGTTTTGTAGGATGATGTCTTTTGGTTTGTTATCTGGCTCTCTCAGATTTTGGCTTGCTTTTATGGGATCAATGCGGCACATGGCAGCAATTCAAGAAAGGATAGCACAATAATTCACACTTGTAATAATCTTTGTATTATTTATGAGTCAAAGAGAAGGTTCTTACTCTATGTTTTGAGGTTTTTCAAATTTTTTTACTTAGTTGGTCTAAATTAGGATGGATGTAAGTGGGGAGTCTCGCAACCGGAGTATAGATTTTTAAATAAATTAAATTTTTTCTAAGTTTAAATTATTAAAATAAATTCATTTTACCGATAAAAAAAATCGTATCACATTATCCACTAAACCAATACTATCTTTAAACTCATTTTGACACCTCTACTTTGCAAGCATTAAATATAGCAAGTTCTTAAAAGAGTAAAGTTGCACAATGTTTCCTTTGTGGTAAGGACCAGTTACGTAAAAACGAATTAGTATGTTAATTAAATATTTTATTTATTTATTGAAGGTTCAATGAGCCGAGATAACAATGCGAGCTACACAATAAGAGATAGTCCTCTCCCATACTCACCAAACACTTGAGGTCAAAAGGACTCTACGGGCTATACATAAATGAAAAGACTAATCAGATCACACCTGATTGGCATGTTAATTAAATATTATTGGTATTCTTTTTGAATAAAATTAGACTGTTATTTTCAAAACTTCTTAAGATAGTAATAGTCTTTTATTTGATCAAATAATATTTTTTTAAGCAATCAAAAATTAGTTCCAAATGACTAGTTATTTTTTACTTTTAACTTAAAATATATTTTTTCACTTATAAATTAATTAAAAAATAAAAACTAATTAAAAGTTATTTTAAAGTAGTTTAACTTTCAATTATTTTAAACATTTCATAGCGAATATCTTTTTTTCCTAGCTACTCCAATTACACCTAATTTTATCCTGACTTTCTGGATAATATCTTTTTGCATTTCTACCTTTATTGGAAATCTCTTTCCAAAAGTTATGTAACTAGAATGACATATTTGTCCCTATTTAGCAGAAAATTTGTTTCACTGTCCTCATAAGGGTAAAATGGGGAATTAGATTCCTTATAAAGCTTAAACAAAATCATTTTCGTTACAGTCAAATGATCCTATCTTTTAAATTTAAAATCCTATAATTATAATTTTATATGATAATTATCCTTAATCGAAAATTTCTCTATATATGCACATGTACTCTGTGTCAGCACTCAGCTCTATCTGTTGAAGAACATAGTCACTGTTTTTCCTGTTCAATCAATATTCTGTATCTGTAAGTCTCTTTCTCTTTTATTCGATTGATTTGTTATGTTTATTTAACAATCAACGATGAAGATACAGTTTAGCTATGGTTCCGCTATCGCCATTTTGGTTTTATTGGATCAAATATGGTTTTGATTTTTGGTGGAGCTAATGAACGATTGGAAGAGAATAGAGAGTTGACAAGATTAATTCTTGTTTGAGTTTTGGTCTTTTACGCATTTTGCAATTTTTTTTGTGAGATTTTTCCTGCACCATGAGGGTGGTTGCATTTGCACGCTTTAGCATTTGATCAGAATTGGGCTCCATGAAAGTTGAATTCGCAGTTTATGGTTCAGTAGGTTAGAACAGTTGCTGGGATTTCAATAGACTATTCTCTTGATTGAAGTTTGGGGTTTTATATTTTTTGTGTTAAATTCTGCCAGTACATTGCTATTTGTTAATCATGTTCAAATATATGTTTATTTGCTGGAATTATATACTTTTCTTGCTTTAAAATATTGCTTTATTTTTCTACAAAATTTACAAAATTGGATTATGGGTTGATATGTATTTTGTTGTATTTATAACTACAGTTCTTTCTTTTCCTTGTTATCCTGTATACTGCAGAATCAGTTTAAATAAGATGAGCAAAATGAAGGGTGGGAAGATATTGTTGCTTCTCTTTTGCCTAAATATAGTCGCTTCTCTTGTGGTAAGGCTTTAAGAGGACCGCTTTCTAAGGGATTTTATTTCATTTGGGGAAAAGATCATATTTTCATTTTTTTCTTCTTAGTAATATCCTGCTTTAAGTCGTCTCTTCTCAACTTTAACCTTGTTTATCTGGTTTCATTGTCTTGCACTCAGATTGCTGATGGTCCACCAACTTGCCCTGCTGATCTTGGTGGCGAATGCAGTGGTTCAGATGAATGGAAAGGTGAATTCTTCCCTGGTGTTCCCAAAATCAAATACGAGGTAAAGATTATTATGATTTATTTCTCTCTTCGTGTTAGTTATATTTGTTCTACTTAGATATTTTAGTTTATGAACTTGGGTTTCTTTAACTCTTCTACTCTGTTATTTGTCATCTGGAAATTCTGTTTGAGGATTTTGCTATATTGACTTATTTTATATATTTCTATCAATTTGTTCTTCGGCCGGAATCTTATGAAAGGTTGAAATTTAAAATTTGTTTGCATTGTTATTTGTAGGGTCCTTCTAGCAAGAATCCACTTGCATTCAAATGGTATAACGCAGAAGAAGAGATCCTTGGGAAGAAAATGAAGGTATTCTTTCATTCTTAATAATATTTTTTGTATCAGTTACTTGATTATTATTGAAATTTATTTATGGTAACAGGATTGGATGAGATTCAGCGTTGCATTTTGGCATACATTCCGTGGGACAGGAGGTGACCCATTTGGTGCACCAACCAAATATTGGCCTTGGGAGGATGGTACCAACTCTTTGGATATGGCCAAGAGAAGAAGTAAGATTCATAAATATTAAGTACTGCTAGTTGTGGTGTATAATGTTGCTGTAAATACTTGTTTAGTAGTTAATTTGTTGTTTCATACATAATGCAGTGAGAGCCAACTTTGAGTTCCTGGACAAGCTTGGAGTTGACAGGTGGTGTTTCCATGATAGGGATATAGCCCCGGAGGGCAAAACTCTAGAGGTGAGTACTCTGAGTCTTTGAGAATTGAGGTTGTTCCTCTTTTTGAAAATGGTCTTATCTGGATGATCTGCATTTCATTAATTATAGATGGTCTGCCTAACGCAAGTAATTAATCTGGGCTTCTTTTTCCTTTCTTTTTTCTATTTCTTTTGTCTGTGATGCAGGAAACTAATGCAAACTTGGATGAAGTTGTGGCCCTTGCTAAAGAGCTGCAGGTAATATTACATGAATGAATGGCCCATTACATAGAACTAAACATTGATCTATTATCTCAATGTAGGATGTCTTGCTTCTGTGGACCTCGTAGATACCATTACTTTGCTTGTTAATTGCTTAACATGCTTCTTCTGGTTTTTAATTATTTTTAGCATCGTTTGTTGTTATTATGAATTATTTGATCTTTTTTTTAATGCGTGTTAAGATTCTTTTTCTTTATTCTATATCCAGAACTTCAAACTTCACATCTCCTCCTTCACTGTTGTGTGAAAGGATTTTATGTTCTCATCTGGGTTGTCTGAAATTGGTATTCCATTAATCATCACTGCATATTCTACAGATTTCTTTTGGAGAACAATGTGCTTGATATACTTCTTATTCTTGTCACTACTACCATCTCATTGAGTGCCGGATGGACGATTGCCATTTTGTACTTCTTTTTTATGCTTATTTGAACCGACATCAATGCTGTTCTTGTTGCATATTCTGGTCTTACAGTCCCATTCTCTTTTAAATGCCTTAACCATGTGACTATACAGGGAACCAAGATTCGTCCTTTGTGGGGCACAGCTCAGTTGTTTATGCATCCTCGTTACATGCATGGTGCTGCCACTAGGTATACTCTTCTCCATTGAATGTTTTGCTAATGATGGTAGTTAGATTGTATGTTCATTGGCTCTAAACTGGGCCCTTTCTTTGCAGTTCTGATGTAGGTGTATATGCATATGCTGCAGCTCAAGTTAAGAAAGCAATTGAGGTGTGTGCATAATCTAATGATACCTGCATCTACAATACTGCCTTCTAGATCCCAATGTGTGTCATAATTGACATTTTTCAACAGGTCACACACTACCTAGGTGGAGAAAATTATGTTTTCTGGGGTGGACGTGAGGGGTACCAATCTCTCTTGAACACGGATATGGAAAGAGAGCTTGATCATTTGGTATTATTTTCATCTTTCTAAAATGTTTGGGCGTATGCTTTCAAATATCATCTAATGGGAATTTATCTTCTATTCTTTTATGATGAATAGTCCTAGAGTTCCCATTATGAAGCATATATTCTTTTTACTAAAAGATGCTACTGGTATTCACAGGCAAGGTTTATGGAAGCAGCTGTTGCCTACAAGAAGAAGATTGGATTTAATGGTAATAGTACTCATTTCCTAACCTGCGCCTCATACTTCATTGTGTGAATTTTTCATAATAAAATTTCCATCTGTAATGGGGAAGAGTATGAATTTTCATTCAGTTGGGGAACAGAACATATGAGCAACTCGTTTCTTGACCCTCATTTTTCTCATTTCTTGACTCTCATTTTTCTTTCTCCTTAATTGATCTTTTATTGAATCATTTGGCCTTTTTTTCACTTTCCAAAGTTCTAGAAAATGAATTTAAGTTGTTATCTTTTCTTCTTTTTCAGGAATCTTGCTAATTGAGCCCAAGCCCCAAGAACCTACCAAACACCAGTGTGCTTCATATCTTATTTCTTTATTTTTCTTTATTTTTTTAGATCTCTGTGTTTAAATATGTTATTATGTTCTCAGGTATGATTGGGATGCTGCGACAGCAGCTAATTTCTTGCGAAAATATGGCCTAATAGGTGAACATTGGAACTTCATTCCTGCAAGCACACGCACTTTATTTTTATAATGTGCTTTGGGTTTTATAATGTACAAACTCCTAGTTTTGCTAATGTGGTGTCATTTGCTAGTTAAAATTGTGGTACTATATTAATGATCTATAGGCATCCTTGCCCAAGTACTAGAAATTTGAGATTCATTATATATAATGAAATAATAGTTTATTTATTGCCGATATATGCTCAAAACTCTGTTAATTTAAAAGTCTTAGGTTGTTTTATGTTAAGTTGACATCCAATGTGTTCCCTTCATCGTATAATGCTAGTTTTCACTATTAATGTGTGTTTTTTAACCTAAGAAATAGTATAAGCATAACCCTGATGAACTTTAAGTTCACAATTATTTTAAAAAAGAACCATCTTTCTTTTCTATGTAGTTGCTGGGAAGTTCAGAACTCCAAGCTTTGACAGTCTAAAATTAGTTTTGAAGATGGATTTTTTAGTGTTCCATTTTGGGGTTGAATATTTTTCTCATCAGTGTTTGCTATTTAGTGAGTTTGATAACTGTAATTAACCTTATGTCCCTTGTTTCGTTTTGTAGGAGAATTCAAGCTGAACATTGAATGCAACCATGCCACTCTTTCTGGTCATAGGTACATCCATGTGTTTTATGTACTGCTTCATTGTTATTTTAAATTATTGCAAACTACATATGCAAATTTTCTAACCTGTAATACTCTTCTGTTCCTCAGCTGTCATCATGAGCTTGAAACTGCCAGAATCAATGGTTTACTGGGAAATATTGATGCAAACACTGGTGACCCTCAGATTGGTAATAGATAACTAGAAACCTTTGACCTTTTTCTAATTTTTCTGCTACATTAATGAAAAGCGCTAGGTTGATTTTAGATTATATGCATGTAACATATCTTTACTGTCATCTCTGCAGGATGGGATACAGATCAGTTCTTGACAGACATTGCAGAGGCAACTATGGTTATGCTTAGTGTGATAAGAAATGTAAGTAAAGTGTATATTGCTTTAAATTGATTTGAAAAATTCAAGACCGTGCTATTTCAGATAGGATGTCATTATCTGCTTTCCATTTTGTCGGATATAGGGAGGGTTGGCACCGGGAGGATTCAACTTTGACGCAAAATTGTTAGTTTCCTCCTTTTTTCTCGTTCTTGTGCATGGGAATGTTATGGATCTCTAATTTCCATATATTTGAACCAAATATTTATTTCTGCTTTGATGAAACTTAAGGCGGAGGGAGAGTACAGACGTTGAGGACCTATTCATTGCTCATATTGGTGGAATGGATACATTGGCTCGTGGACTGCGAAATGCTGCAAGGTTGATTGAGGTGAGCTTTTCAATTTTTAAACTTTTTCCCCATGAATTCTGAAGGAAAATCTCTTTATTCGGATCTGAATACGAATGAGTTTTCATGCTGTGAAATGAAGGATGGTTCCTTGGCTGAGCTTGTTCGCAAGCGGTATCAGAGTTTTGACACAGAAATTGGAGCACAAATAGAGGTAATATGCTTAGTACCCCTTTTTTCCTTAGTTTTAATTTTTTTTTTTTTTTTTTCAGCTAATTGCAAACTAATGCATATTGCATCAGGCTGGCAAGGCTGATTTTGAAACGCTTGAGAAAAAAGCCTTTGAATGGGGTGAACCAAAGGTTCCTTCTGCTAAGCAGGTAATGCAATAATCAACATGTTTCTATTCCAAGACTTGCATCCCATTGCCAATTAAAAGCGACCTGAACATGGACTTAAAGAGTCAGAACAAAGTATAAGATCAACCAGTTTTCTTTTATGTGGTGTGGCATATAATTTTACTGCGAGGAGTTTCAAAGGAAAACTAATTAAATGTACTTGCATTATGTGGGAAATCACTTATTAGGATGTTTAATTTACCTATTTTATTATATTCCCCAACAATTCTTCCTTTGAAATCCTTATTCAGCTCTTACTATTAGTTATTGGTAAAATCATTTTGAATTAGAACAAACAATACCCAAAAAGACAAGTTAAATTAAGATTTTTAATATTTATGATTGATAGATTGTCTGTAGAATCTAACTAAGGGTACGTGCGTGCTATTGCAGGAACTCGCAGAGATGATCTTCCAGTCTGCACTATAGACTGTGGTAACATACAATATAGCTGTGAAGTAGCCGGGCTCTGCCCACCCTCCCCTTGATACCCACCTTTTTAATAATCCGTGGTATGAAAAATAACTAGTAGAAATGAATGATGACATACCCTTTTGTAATGTAGTCGAGGATGTAGTTGAGTAGAACGCATTATAAACAGTTTTGAATTTGCTTGGATTCTCTACCTGTTTTGTGTTTGTTTGTCCCTTTGTTGCATGAGGGAGCATAGGTTCTTAAGGTTCTATTTGGCATTGTTTTTTAAGTTATTTGTGAGAGAAAACCATATACTTAAAATTTTGATTTACATTTTAGATGAAATCAAAATAAATTTATTTAATTTAAACAAAATCAATTCCACGTTTTAAATTTATTTATGTTTGGATTGCTTTTTTTTTTTTTTAAATGAATCAAAATAAATTCAAAACATGGAGTTGATTTATATTAAATTCTAAATATTCTTCCTGTTTGCAATAAAATTCAAAAATTTAAATTCATTTGTTTTTATTTTTAAAATACTATTGGCATAATAATGTTAGAAGGTTAAGAGGGTTTGTTTAAGTTATGGAATTGATTGTAAAATTTCACATCGGTAGAATTTGGTTTGGTTATATTTAAATCCATAGAATTGAATTTTTCCAATTCAGATTGGTTTTATTGATTGTAACTCTTAATTTCAAATAATCATTCAGCAGTAAATATTGTTGACTCCAATTGGGAGAATTTTCTACAAAACCATCTAACTATGAAGGTAAAGCCATCAATCAACAAAAGATATAGAAAGGGTATTCAAAATAAGAAAATTAAGTTATGGAATACAATCTATTACCAAATATGATAATTTGAAAAAAAAAAAAAAAAACTATTAGCCTAATTCATAATTTAACGCATGAACTTTGACAAAAAATTTTGTGGTACTTTTAAATTTTAAAATTAAGCTTATCATTATATGAACTTTACTTTTTGTAATATTATTTTTGAAACAATAACTTTTACTCATTCCATCTTATAAAAAGATGGTTCATTTTCTTTTTAACACAGATTAAGAAATAAACATTATTATAGTTTGTGAATGATTTTCTTACTATAACTTTTCTATTATATTAATTTTAAATAATAAATGCATAATTATTATATTAAATTAATAAAAATAAAAATAATATAAATATAAAATATAAATTCCAATCAATGAAAGAGACCAACATTGATGAATTTATAAAATTTAAAAAGAGAAAAAAAAGGAAAAATAGAACTGTGGACAAATTTAACAATTAATTATAATTTTCTACCCCTATTTTAGTCGGGGTTGCCAATACATTTTTTTGCTTTTAATTTTTTTATTAACTTCAGTAATTCAAATGTATTTTTCTTAGAATATATATTTTTTTCTTTTTTTTTATTACTTTGTCTTCATATTTAGAATTTTTTGCTCTGATCCCTCCTTTATGATGTTTATTATTAAATAAAATATGATATTCGACTCTTTGGTTAAAAACTTTAAATATTGATTTATAAGTGTGAATTTTGGATCACCACAACATATTCCTCCACTGTTACCAAATGCTAGTTCAAACGTTTCTCAAAAAGCTAGATGGACCGTTCAGTAAAACCCTAAAACTACCAAAAAAAAAAAAAGTTGATGACGTGGCAAAATTTATCTACCGCATCAACTAGAACCGGACAGAGGGAAACACCAGCGGACCTGCGTTTTTCATTTCTAAAACTTGTTGTATTGTTCTTTTGTTTTCTTCGCTGCTTGTTTTACATGTCTCCATTTCGTTTCTAAAGCGAATAAAACGAACTTTCTTCTCTCTCTGTTCCAATTTCTGCTACATCATCCGCCCCAAAGTTTCTCAAAATTCGATTTCGATCCCATAACCGTTACATCTTTTGCAGGCAGACCCTCTCCTTTTCTCTTCAGGTGCGTTTCGTTATACTCACGTAACAAATGATGCTTGCACACTGCAATAGTACTTTGCTTCTGTTGCCCACCTTTGTCTCGTAAATTTCACGCTTACACTGTTTTTTTTTTTTTTTTTTTTTTTTTTTTTTTTTTTTTTGAACAGGGTTTGCTTTGCAGATCAGATCCAAATTCTACGATTCTGTTTACACAATGCACTAAGGAACCTCTCATGTGTAATGAAAATGCATAGAAGATAATAAAAAAGAAAGATGGGTATATTGTTTAACTAAAATGGTTCTCTTCCCTCTTTCTTGGCAACCAAAGAGGCCCGGGATCCTGGTTCTTTGGCCTTGTAATTTGCTGGGAAAGTAGAAAGAGCCGAAAATAGCCTGTTTTTTTTTTTTTTTTTTTTTTTTTTTTTTTGATTTTTTGAAGATAGGAACAGGGTTCTGCTTTGCAGATCAGATCCAAATTCTACGATCTGTCTTACACATGCACTAAGAGAACCCTCATTTTTGGTTTTTAAGAAGAAGCCAAAAGAAAAAAAAAAAGATGGGTATATTGTTTACTAAAATGTTCTCTTCCCTCTTTGGCAACAAAGAGGCCCGGATCCTGGTTCTTGGCCTTGATAATGCTGGAAAAACTACAATTCTTTGTAAGTAATTTTTATTTCTGATTGATACCCTTCCTTCGTTTTGCATTTTTGTGCAATGGTGATTGATTAATTTTGATAATTCTCCTTTTCTGATTTTGTGTTATACAGATCGGCTTCAGATGGGTGAAGTTGTATCCACGATTCCAAGTTGGTATTCTTTCTTAGTTTCATTGAATTAGGGTTATATGTTATTTTGTTTGATTAATCAAAATAATCAAAATTTGAGAATTTGTAATCTTTCTTATCCTGTTTTGTTTTGTTTGAGAACTGAATGGTATTAGCTTCATCTGTAGATTCAGGGTTGTTGTTTGAGGGACTTAGTTATTTGTACTCCTTTTTTTTTTTGTTGAAGTTTCTAGAATTTCTTTCATATTCTGTTGGAATTGCTAAATGATCCATTTGTTTTTTGCGCAGCAATTGGGTTTAATGTGGAGACAGTGCAGTACAATAATATCAAATTTCAAGTATGGGATCTTGGTACGCTAACTTATTCCCTTTGATCTGTATCTCTTGCTGGCTTGTGATTCCAGTTCTATTTGAGACCAATTACATAACTTATCATTCTTAAGATTTTGTGAAGCGATATCTCTTTGTATTACGGAGAATAAGCTTGATTTTATCATATAAGCATTTCTTTGTTTTCTCTTTTATTTTGTTTTGGTTTGATGAAACAACAGAGAACAGACATTAATGTCTGCATGTCGGAACTGAGGTTGTATACTTTATATATATTTTAGGTCAATTTGGTATTCTGGACTCTCAAAACTCAATGTACATGATTGAATACTGAATCTACAATCTAGCCAACTTTTATCAGTCAGCTTACTGGTTAAATGAAGTAATGGAAACTTTAGTCATGTGCAATTAAGAACATTCATTATTCTGGAAAAAGGTAGACCAAGCAATGGCCCTTACCTAGTGTTACCTTAATTTTATTTCCACAGAGAAAAGAATGATTAAGGGAAGGGAAGGGCAATTGAAATGGGAATAGAAGGATTTACAGTAAAATCTACCCGAGAAAGTCAAATGGTTGCCTTCTAATTAGATGGCACTGCAACAAAACTTAATAAAGGTATTCTTGGAATGAAGTGAAAAATTGGGAAGCAAAAGAAGTTGAATAAGAGCGGAGATATTACGATGAAAACTACACAATCATGCGTTTATACATAAGCAAGGTAGTCATAATCTTGAAATAGTTTGTAAGGCTAGAATACGTGTTTGGCCCATATGGATGGCTTCCATTTCCTCAAAAACCAGGCCAATGCTTTGTCCAGGTCTTGGGAACATCCAGTATCCCTTGTTTTCTCATGTATTTTTCTTTCCATGGCTGTATAAGCAATGGTTGGAAAGACTAGGACAACTTGAATCAGGAGCAATGTTGTTTTTCTTGTCATTTAGGTGCTAATTTAACTATTAGGTAACCTGGATTGAGAGAGTGAGTGTATGGAAAACAACCTTGACATCTAGTTTTTCTTAATCTAGAGAACCAAATCACTCTTCAATGTTTATTCTAGTAAATGGAATATTTTTAATATATGCAGTTTTCCCACATTGTTTTTGAGCAGTATGCTATCCATGCATGTATATATTCCATTTCTTGCCTCTAAAAGTCGACTATCATATTGGGACTAGATGTATGTGTTGTGAATTGGAAATTGCTCTGATACCACTTGTTATGACGGAAGCATGAAAATATCTATTTGGGGTAAAAGAAATATAATGCGACAACAAAAGAAAAAGAGGAGACCCAAAATTTATGACGTTCAGTGTAAGCCTACATCCATGGGTGAAGGAGAACAAAATTCACTAATAAATAGAAAAGATACAAAGTCCAAATAGGAGATAACACTCAAAGCCCTAAATCCAAATGTATACCTAAAAAACTCACAATATTTTTTTCTCTTAAATTGTAATGGTAATTAATTATTGAACAAAATTACCGGATCTAAACTAAGAGCAAAAAAATAGGAGAGAACTCTCAAAACCTCTCTAGGATGTCTCTCTATATGGTATATCTCTCTCATTTATTTGTTCTCTCGCTCTCTGTGTCTATCTCACAAACCCTGTGTTTTGCCAAGTTCTCTAAGGCAATGGCTTGCTTGAAGGCTACTCTAACTTGCTTGTTTCATGGGCGCCAATTTTCTTTCTTCGTGTGAGTGCCAATCTTTGTCATGTAAAGTTATGACCTGGCATACATTGAATGGTAACTGGAATGAGCTGTCATTCATTGAATGGAGATTTGACCTCTGAAATTGCATAGGTGAGAGGACAGGCCATCACTTAAAGAAAATTTCAAAAATAGGCTATAGCTTGGTATGGAAAAATCTCTATAAGTGATTGCTTAAATGCTTGTCTTTTGGCTACAGCCTATAGTTCTGCTTGGCTCTTGGTATGTGGTTGCCTATACTCTTGGCATTCTTGTCTTAGGTGATAGCCTAAAGCCTTTTATTTTCATGGCCTATCCTAAATTTAAGGCATCACTAACAGTATGATGTTTCTGTGTGCAATGGTTTTCATTTCTCCCATTTGCAAGTGATTCAGTTTAACTCAAAATGGAAAAAAGAAAAAAAAAAGAAAACCGTGTCAAAGGTCCATTAGTGTTTGACAATTTATATATATATATATATATATATCTAGGAACTGGTGAAGACACAAAAATATTAAAAGTATGGGAGAGAACTTCTCAAGAGAAACCTCTACCTCGCGAATTTCTCTACTTATATGTGTGTATATCTCTGCTTACATCTCTCAAGATTTGTTCTCATGTACTCATCCTTCCTTACATGATTCGTATATCTTCAAACTATAACCCTTATGGTGTATAATATTGTGACACATAGTTTCTCATAAAGCATATGGCATATGACACTACAAGTTAATTTTTTTCATACTCAATAAACTTGACAGATTGTGCGATTCTATCCAATTGCTATGGGCAAGTCGACCAAAATAATTTTCCTCTATCTATCAGAGAGTCTGTGTGAGAATGTGCCCAAATGCCTTTTGTCATTTTAAGATTCTATATGACAACTGGCGACAATCATACTAACATTAGCACAAAATGTGGAACGTGAGAATGAGAGAGCTAGATATTTCCATTTCAAATGAAGCAGATTTTTACCTCCTTATATTGAGTGACAACAATTGCATAGGTGAGAGGACAGGAACCAACTCAACTTACAATATAAAATTTCAAAAATAGGCTATTAGAGTCTCCTGTTATAAGGAACACCAAACTTCCATAAGTAATTGTGTTAAAGGAATGTGAGTCTCGAGCTGTCTTTTCTGGCACTAGCCCGTATAGTTCTGCTTGGACGTGCATATGGATATGTGTGTGGTGGACAGTGATACTACTTGGGTCCCTCCCATCTCTAGATGTCATCTCTAAGGAAGGTATATTTAGAACAATACAAATCCTTTTAAATTTTCTATGACACGCATATCAACATAATTGAAACAATTTGAAAAGTTTAATTCGGGCGTAATCAAATCCTAACCTTAAAGTATAATTAATTGATGTATCAGGTGCCTCTTGAATGAGTTTCTTCATTTCATCGCGTACATATCCAGATTGGCGAATCGATAGATTACCAGTTCTTGTAACTACTATATATAGATGAGAAAAACACCGGAAAAAAAATATACCACAATAATTAACAGGAAACTCTGTGTAAGAAAGGGATTCCTAATGTGTAGCTGAATTTGACAATTGATTTATAAAGAAAAATGTAAATAACCTTTAAAACCATTATATTTAATATTCAAAACCTTAGGTGAAATAACCTATAGGTTAATATTACTATAGAACATCATAAAATTATTCCAAACTTATATTAGATCCTGATCCTAGAGATCAAGTACGAGATTACCACAATAGCTTTATAGTATACAATGGACAAATGTGAAGAGATGATAAATCATTAAGTTTATTTCACTATATTGTTAAATTTCCTCTTAATTTTCCAGTTTACCTTGTCTCGTCGAGGCAAGAGATTATATACAGTAACTACTAGTCATACTGAAGAGTTACCTTTTACTATGCCTGTCTATGACTAATTATGATAATACTACAATGTAAACAATTTTCCCTAAATTTGTACATAAACCAACTTCACCCAGTAGCACCAAACAGCTTTCAGACTCTGATCAACCTTATGAGAAATTGAAGAAAATTATAGATAAATGTCTTATCTTGATGATGTTCAGTGTGTAGAACAATAAAACAATAAAGTGTATACAATGGTAAATTTGCTTGAGATTTTTTCTGTTCGCGTGTTATAAATATGAAAAGATATATATATATCACTCACAAAAACGGTAACAGAATTATTATTGATAAGAGCATCTTTCTAATATACTCCATATAATATTTATGATAAGAACCTACATTATAGTTGTAGAGTTTCAAATTGACCCAAATGCAACATGAGTTGGATTTTATATAGAGAGACTTTATCAAAAACTCAAATTACGTCAATGCTGAAAGAAAAGAAATCTTGTGATTAGAATTTTAATTTACCGACTGGAAGCCTAGTCAGAGGGTGTCCTATCTAGTATAAAAATAATGTACTTACTCACTCTAAAAGTGCTATTAACCCGAATTAACAAATTATTCATTGTGCATAAAAATCTGATTTTTGATTCTTATTTAAAAACCATTGAACGTTTTGTATAGAAAACGAACTACCGTAGTTGAACCTCGGGTTATTAGAAGACTTTAATGATCAAAAATAGTGAGTGATGATGGCTACATTCAAGTGCAATCAAGTCATAAGATAAGAATCATTATTGCCTCTTTCTAAAGCTATTTATTAAGATACTCTTTATTGGAAAGAGATCATTCAAGATAACAGATTGATCTTTTCCTATTCTTTTTCTGTGCTAATACCGATATTTAATAGCAATCTGTCAAGCTATTAAATAGTACCGGATAAAATGAAATGATACATTATTACACAAAATAAGGTATCGATCAGTGTACCTATAGCTAATTTAAAGGTGATTTGAAGTGATGATATCTTTGGCGATTTTATAACCTTTAGTTTGTGGTCTTTCAAATTTACACAGGCCATTAATGCTAAATTATAGTACCTCACTACTTCTTTTAGTTTCTAGCTGATAAGATATCTCATGAATCTACTTCATAAAGGGCCTTCATCAATGCCAACAAAGTTTACCTTCTGCTTTTTATTAACTCCTAAAATTTCACAAGACTCAATATTGGAGAGAATGTCACTATCTTATCAGCGGTAGAAAAATATGTACAATGCCAATTAAAGTCACAAATTTTTGTTGATATTAGAACACGCCCATGTGATTCAAGCCGGATCCTAAGGATGTCCGGAGATTGCTCACACAAGATGAGAAGTATTTAACGAGCAATTCCTACGAGATGGCTATAACGTATTATTTTTCCTATCTATATAGAGATCTCATATTCAGGCCTTTAGCTCAACTTGAGCAGATGAATCGTAATACTCTCTGTAATAGATTGTGAATGTTCAATCATCATACTTGGACTGTTCCAATGAAGTATAATCAATTAATTTCCACTCTGTACCAGTCTTGTGAGTATAAATATTAATAAATTAATCATAGTCAGAAGAAAAATCTACTATCCTGTGATTGTAAGACGAGGTAACAATATACTCCTTCGATGCGTGCAAAGATACTTCTCACTTGATTTGGTTGGCCACCTTCCACTAAAGTTAATTAGTAAGGGCTAAAACATATGGAGAGCTAAAACACTTATGAGATGAGAATATAATACTTCATTCAAATTTGACATTTATCATATCTACATCTTATCGTGCAAAGTCAAAACTGAGAGATGTGATAATTTATGGTACTCAGGAGGTGGGCCTCCAGTAAGCCCTGTAGCACATATATTAATTGATATCAAATGAAAAAATCATCCTCACATACATGGATGGCCTTCCCGAACATTGAAACTGCCACTATTAGATGCTCAATACATGTATATGAATGAATATTAGTGGATTAGTTCCGCAGGCGCTGCTTGGAAAAAAATCTTAAGTATTTTTGCAACAACATGACCGATTGCCATGCCAAATGCTGTATAAACCCAGTCACCTATATCTGATAAAAGCCGTAAGCTGAAAATGCCTTATGCAGATTACAGACAATAAAGAGGAATATATAGAATACATAATTTATTCCAACTTTTATTAGTTATCTGAGATGGTACAAAGCTTGAGTTATACGAGACAATTAAAATATCATTAAGTTTATCATTTTTTTTCTCTTTATTTTCCTTTACTTGTTTGGAAATATATACAGAATATGTCTATTGAAGAGCTTACCTTTTAAGCCTTCTATGATTAGAAATCAATGTGATTTTCATGTCCTGATATATATGTATATATGTTCTTGTGACAGGTGGGCAAACAAGTATCAGGTAATTTGCTTGGATTTTTCTGTTCCTTTAAAATTGTTTATCAATAAAATTAGCATTATATTGGTAACACTCTATTCCCTTTTTATGATAGCATTATTTGGTTTTGTTTCAAAGGACCATGCAATGTTGGATTTAAAAAATTAATATTTGAATGTGAAGAAGACTTGTGATTAAATCCCAAGCCTAGCAGAGGGCTTCCCTTCATGACACTCTTGTATATACTTATTTGCATTAGCTGATTTGTTCTTTTTACCATGAACGTTTGTTATAGAAAGAATTGTATTTGAGCCTCAGGGTTTTAACTGATATCATATGTGGTGCTGGCCTATGCATCAATCAAAATGAATCAATTGCTTGGGTACCTATGGGAGTCAAACAGTTGTCTTTTTCATTCTTTGTTCGTAACCGTTTAGCAATCTGTCAGCAGTATATCCTATGAATTTTACAAGGTACTTGTCATTCCTTGCTTAAAGGATTGAGGATGATTTTCATATCCTTATTTGTGGTCTTCAATTCAGGATCATGCCATTATGTCCTCACTACTTCTTTTAGTTTCTCTGATAGATTCTGATATAACCTTCATCAATGCCACAAAGTTTACCTTCTGCTTTTATTATATTGCACAGACCATATTGGAGATGTTATTTTCCTAACACTCAAGCCATAATTTATGTTGTTGACTCGAGTGACACCGACAGGCTGGTGATTGCCAAAGATGAGTTTCACGCAATCCTGGAGGTACCTTTATTCCTACTTTATGTCTAATTTTAGCAGTGATCTAATACTCCTCTGTAATAATTGTGAATGTTACTAACTTGGGATGTTCCAAAGTAATTTATTCACTTTCCATTTGGTTAAAAATAAATAAGTCAAAAAGTTATTTTGTCAACAATATTCTCTGAATACTTCTCCTTGATTTTTGTGCCACCTTCCACTAAAGTTATTAGTAAGGGAAAAATTGGTAAACCGATGTGAAATACTTCATTCAAATGACTTACTCTTAATCTTCGTGCAAAGTCAAACTGGATTGTAATTTTGAGAGGGTGGCTAGCCTGTGCACATATTTAAATTTAATGAAAATCTTGGGGGCCTTAGACATTGAACTGGCAGAGTGAATTTAATTATTTGTATTTGTTGCAAAAGTTACGTTATAGCCTTATACAAATTGTGACTTCTTTTGATGAGGTGATAGCAGACTTTACTTGTCTTTTATGTCTGTCTTTATATCGGTATTAGCAAGTTCAAAAGCACAGGCATATATGCCCACATGAAAGAACCCATGTTCAGTGTGGACAACTACTTGGGGTTTATAATTTTCAATAGATATATTAAGAAAATTTTAAAACGTTACTTGTATGTCCTCTGTTGATTGGATATGGTAGTATTTTAAGTGGTGGTCATGAACTAATTTAAATATTTAGCAAAAGAGCCGGGATCAAATCTATAATTTTAAAAATGAGATATTGGTAAACCTGCTCTTTTGCTCAATTCTCTTTATCAATTTTTTTTTCTCTCTCTCTCTCTCTCCTCCTCTACTAGGACTTAAAGCATATGCCAAAAACTAGAAGGGAATTTCTCTTTCTAATACCTTTCTATCAGGACTAATAAAAACTATTGGCTTACTTTTGAAGCTTTATTAAGTTCCTATTTTCTTTTTCTTGCATGTAGGTAATTTTAATTTGCTCATGAAAAGGTGGTAGTGAGAATTAAAAATTATCAGCTTGTTATCATTTCACGATCAGAACTTCCTGCCTCTTTCAGGATTTTCTGGCTTCACACGTGACAAAACCCCCATCACCTTTTTAGCTAGCAAGAAAATGACTTACTGGTCCTTAGGCTGTCAATAAAGTCACTTTTGATGTAAAGAAATTGGCTATATTCCATGCTTTTCCTTAGGTGTCTTATGATGCCAGTTTATCCATTTGAGTTTTTCGGCAGGAGGAAGAGTTAAGAGGCGCTGTTGTTCTTCTCTTTGCAAACAAGCAGGTTAGTTTTCGCACTCAGTTGTCTATTCTTTTTATAAAGAATATACAACTGGTATTTGCAACTTAAGTAACGTTACTGAGTATGATATTTGAGTGTTATTGCTTGTAAAGAAGTAGAAATTATAACTTTTTGTGATTCAATTAGGTTTTTTTTTCGATGCATAGTAAATGCCTTTTGCATACAAACTTTTTTAAACAAATTTATGAGTTTTATTCATCAAGTTCTGAATTTATTCTTTTATTATGTAGGATCTTCCTGGAGCACTTGACGACGCAGCAATTACAGAGGCTTTGGAATTACACAAGATTAAGAATCGACAATGGGCAATTTTTAAAACTTCTGCCGTTAAAGGAGAAGGTCTCTTTGAGGGCCTGGACTGGTAAGTTCAGTAAAAGTTAAGCAGTAGATATTTAGCTTTTGATTTGAAGATATGGAGTACAGGCTTCTTAAACTTCCTTTCTGCGAATACTGTGTATCACATGCTATGGATTTACTTCCAAGTCCTTGTTTGGTTACTAACAACAAGAGATCATGAATTGATAGGGAATCAAGCCTTAAGTTCCAAGATCACATAGGGTCTAGGTCTTAGAAACTGAACATTAGAACAAGGCTTCTTTTCCTTTCTCATTTCCTAATTTGTGTTATTACTATGGTGCTTGACATTCTTTTATTACTAAATATATACATACTGCCCATTCTCTCTTAAATGAAGCTTGCCCTTGAGCCTAGCCCTAGGGAGGTGATGTATAACCAAAAAGGACAAAGGCAAAAGAAAGAACAATATTTGATTAGGAATATACAGCCACAAACCTACAATTCCTACTTTCTATATTTATATTTTTTTTCCCAAAATAAGTACTCCTAAAATCTCTAGGAATTGGATTTCACTTAGGGTTAAATGGAGTGCTTAGTTTAGTTAAACTGGAACATAATCATCTCAATTTTAACAATGCAAGAGAAATTGAGTGAACAAGGCTTTGGATGGATATTATAGGGGGTGGCCGAAAGTGCACATTTTTGAATATTTTGTTTCTATTATACAAAGGGATGAAGCAATGGAAGAGGATATTTGTCAGGGGATTAATGTTGTTCAGTTGAAATGGAGCCATGTGATGCAATTATGAAGAATTGAAAGGGCACCTGTAGAAGATAATGTGCTGGCTAAACTCAGGTTGATGAATGTTTGAGGTGAAGAAACACAGTTGTAAACTGAATGTTGCTAAGATGAGGGTGCTAAAATTATGACTGAAAATATAAGAGGCTGAATGGGACATCAGTACTTTCTTAGGAGGGCAGAAATAGAGCATTAAATTGAAAAGTAGTTTGGAAGGATTTAAATACTTGACCATTTCTATCAGGGACTTGTAGATCTATTCATTGGGAGGTGGAGATTTCCAAGTTATAAGAGTGAAAGAGAGAGGTAGAACGAGACAGACATGGAACAAAAAAATGATTGAGAAAAAATTAGCATTGTTAGACCTTTCTACAATTGTAGTCTTAAACTGATTGGAAAAGTGTCAACTAGTTTGAGACAAAAGTTTAGTAGAGTTTTATGGACTTTATACATCAAAATTACGTATATGCTATGGGATCTGCCTGAAGGCAGAATTGAGTTGCAGTAAGGGATTTCTGCGGAGTAGAAGCTGATCCTAGTAAAGATCATGGTTCTTGAGTGACCAATTAATTAATTCTATGATAGAGAGAGATGTCCTCGGTTTATGACACAGCTTTAACTGACATATTAAGTGATATGGGATGATGGCAGCTCAATTGCTACATGAAAACCCCAAGTGAGGACATTAAATCCAGCCAGTAAGAAAGTCCGGAAGCTAGAAGGTACAATGTAGTCATCATAAACTACCCCACCCCACTGCACTAAATCTAGTCTATGGGAGAGATCTCTATTGCTTATATTAGTTATTTGCTAGGATGTTTAGGAATTGTAAATACACTGAGCCAATGTGCTTCTTGTTATCTTACAAATTTCAAAAACCATTGTTGTGTGAGCACATGCAAAAGCACATAATTTTCTTTTGAATCAAAATTAAAAGTCTGTTCTTTCTGGTGTCAATGTGCAAAAATGTAGGTTAAGTAATACGCTCAAATCGGGAGGAGCCTAAACCTTTAGGAGAATAATTGAAAGGTTACCATTGTGCGCCTGAGGCAAAGTTACAGAGGGTGAGAAGTTGGCATGGCTGGTAATACAAATTCTATTCATGTTTGCGGTTATTTGGCGTTTGATGTTGCTGATTTTTCTCACCAATATAGTTGTAAAATTTTCCTTTAAGTTGTGGTCAATCAGTTCATTTTTTTTTTCCCCAAGGATACTTTATATATTCTTTTTCTGGCATCTATTCACTTTGTGTAGCTCTTTCAATTTTGTTTTCCTTCCTCTGTGTACTGTATTTGAAGGATAATAATGATGGCTTTTTATGAAAGAAACCAACATAGATCCAAGTCTATTTGTCCATTGATAATCAACAGATATTCAAATTTGTGTTGATCAGTAACTTTGTCATTTAATTTCTTTTAGGTCATATAAGTAATTATTCTCATTGTTTCTAATTTAATTTGTTTTTTAAAACTTTTGATTGTTAGACTGTAAGATACCATTAAAATTTCTTACTTTGTTCTAGTATTCATTTAATTTAAAGAGTTTTGGTACTTTGTTAGACTGTGAGATGAATTACATTAATTCTAGACTGTTTGTTTCAAAAAAATAACTTACGTTAAATTAGTTGAAAAATATTAGAATTTTTAATTTATAAGACCATAAGCATATTTATAATAATAGAAATTTCATATTTAAAAAAATTATTGTTAAATATGAGGGAAAAAATGTAAGAAATTATAAATTATGAAAATCACGGGACTACGAATGGTGAGCCGTAGCTAGTGATAATGGTTGCCGATTAAGTGGTTACTGGTCATTAATAAATTAAAAAATATTTATTTATAAAATTATAATAAATTTATCGATGTTCGGAAAATATTTCATTTCTTAAAAATGAAAAATCATTTCCCTTAAAAGTTACTCAATTTTACTTTTGATTAAAAAGATTATTTTCATTGGTTTATTTTTTTAAATGCTTTAAATAATAGAAAATTATAAAAAATATTTTATTATAAATTATTTTATGAAAATAAATGGAGCTTCAGTGTACTTTATATTTATTAATTTGTTCACGTGTTTGTAGTTATTTGAATTGCAATAGAAAACAATTACAATTTGAAAATGCCCCTGAGACTGTCCTTGTCTTGTACCCTTGTTACTAGTACTATTATATATTTTAGGTTTAAACATTCACAAAAAGAAAAACAATTAATTCTTTAATATGCTATTACCAATAATGATTAATGAATGAATTCACACTAGTACGCCTTGTAAGCCAAGCCGACTTATTTTATTATTATTGTTATTATTATTATTATTATTAAATGAATATTCATCTTCCAAGTTCCAACATATTCTTCAAGTGAGTGATGAAATATATTTGTGCAAAGCTAATTGGCTTGGCTCATGTTAGGTCTATTACCTAGTATTGTCATTGAACGTGAGCCTCATTTTCTTCAAATTAACGTTTATGGATTTATCATTATCCTACCCTTTTACAATTTAATTATATTCACCCGATACAGAGGTATGGTTGAATCTCGCAAAATTATTTTATTTTGATAAAGGGTATAGTTATTAATATAATATAAAAGTGCAGAATCGTGATTGAATCCCTGTAAAATTCATGGCCGACAAAGAAAATCGAGCAAAGTGAATAGTCAATTATGCATCAAGTCATATATCACCACATAATGTATGTAAAGACATGCAAAATCCATTTATTTATTTAGATATCTCCTTTACCTAAGAACACCTTAATTTTTTTTCGTCCTCCAATAAAATTTCAACCATATTCATTTTGTTTTTTATAATTTTTCCCTTATCAACCTAACATTTATCTTTTATCTATCTTTAAAATGTTAGTTTATCAATTATTCTCTTTCTTTTTAATTTACACATTAAATATATTAATTTCAATTTATTTTTATTTTTAAATTTTTATCTTTCAAGTGATTATTATATATATATATATATATTATTTAAAAATGAAAAATTATGTAAATTCCAATTTTGCTATAAAAAAAAGAAAAGAAACATTGGGTAATTACAAATTCTATGTCATGTTTCGGTTATATTTTTGGCGAGTTCGTGTACCTGTTGCCTGACTTTTTTCCACAGGATCACCAATATAGTTGTAAAATGTCGCCATCCTTGTAAATGGTTATGTTGTCTTCACCATACTAGATTCAATCTGTTACCTCTTTCTTCACCCCAAGTTGATACGTTCTTAGTTCTATATATGTTCCCTATTTTACTACGGGGCATCATAGGTCCACTTTAGGTGTTAGCACTGTTATACAGATATATCTTTGTATCCTTACACTATGCGCTTACGTGTTATTTGAAGGATAATAATGATGGCTTTTTATGAAAAAGGAGACTCTGAACATATTAGTCCACACAGAAAATCCTCATTATGTGATCACCGCACATATGAGTAATCAACAGATATTATACCATACTATTGGTGTTGTGCTTGTATCACACAGAAACTTTGCTCATTATTGTAATTTCACTTTATTAGAGATACATTTTAATAAGTTAAAATAGGTAAATGTTCTTCTGATATTATAATAACACTAATTTCTTGGTCGTTTAAACAAATACTACCCTGAGGATTTTTACTTTCTTGTAATCCATATTATATATTTGCTTTTCTCATTAAACAACTCTAAGAATTATGATGTAGTTTAGATACTAGATATAATATCACCATGTTAAAAATATTCTTACCTTTTCTATAGTGTATATTAATTAATTTAAAGAGAATTTTCGCACTGTACTTTGTTTAGACTGTATAGAGCCACTATTTACATATATATATTTATATCTCTAGACTGTTTGTTTCAAATAATATAATAACTTTATAGTCGTTATACATCTCACACGTTAGAAAAATCACCAAATATCGGATATGTAACTTTGTTTTACAATTTACTCACAGACAAGTAAAACATAATCCTGGCCTACTTAAACTCACATATGACAATCTTTCTATCTTAAAACAAACACACTTATTAGTTTGATACCTCAATGAATGTAAGAATTACATAATGTAAGAAATTATAAATTATGAAAATATTCACGGAGATTCTAATCAGAGAACATTGACAATGGTCGAGCACTTACGCTATGGTGATTATTAATAATGTATGTTTGCTCCTATTTAAGTGAGGTTAACCGTTGTCGAATGTTAATAGGAATTAGAGAATAATTATAGTTTAATTGAACATATTTTCAAATAATCCCACTGCTATACTAGCATAAATTTATCGATGTCTCGAATAAAATTACATGTGTCTATTTACATTAAACATATGTGGATAAATAATCATTTCCCCTTAAAAGATTTACTACATATAGTTTTACTCTTTGTATTGAAAAAGTATATTATATACAACTTGTGTGTGAAACTAAGTATATACTTTTTTTCACAATAGTATGACACTTTATAAATCACACTAGTATACCTAACCATAAAAAAATAATTTGATCCTATAAAGTGCTATTATTATGAAATGAATTAAAATGGTCAGAGCATTCATGTTAAGATCTGCCACTATATTAAACCTCAATTATTTAATCCATCTAAGTCTCTAGTATTCACGTGCTTCCTGTAGTTATCTTGAATTACGATATAGAGTGAAAACTTATAGATGTACAATTTGAAAATTGCCCCTGCAGCGACTTTCTCCTTCTACTCTTGCACCCTCTGTTACTAGTAGCTATTCATATATAATTTAGCTAATTGTATTTATAAATGCGATGTCACACATTACAGAAGAGAGTTAAAAAACAATTCAGTGTCACTGTTAACTATACTCAGCATCCTTATGGGTAAAATTAAAACCCAAACAACTAAATAGATTTTAAATAATGATGAGATTTCGACACTAGGTGACGACCTATTGTCAGACACACCAAGTTCTACCACAAACTCCTGGACTATATAATTTAGTTAATCTTTACTTGGTATTATTACGTATGGATATATTTATTAAAATAAATGAATATATCCACTCATTCCGAGTCTCCTCACACCACTAATGTCTATACACACAGCTTGCTTAGCAGTGATGAATAATAAGAATTAATATCTTGGTGCACCAACACGCTACAACTCTCTTAGACATCAATGATGTAGGCGATCTAAGTTACCTCCAGATGACTTGTCACATTGAAAGACTGTAGCATCTCATTTCTCTTGCTCAAAAACTACACAGCGTTAATGAGAATTTAGTATTATCAGAATATAGAATCTCTACTCCTGTCAAGATTTACCAAATAACACATTTATATTCAGATCTCCTGACAACAGTATTCCTATGAATGTACGCGTCTGAATCTCGCAAAGATAAATATACTTTATTTTCTATGCAAAAGTTAAAGGTATAGAGTCATCTAGCATAAACTATAGTATTCACACACTAGGTCACAGATATCACTTCGATAGAATTGGCAAAATCTCGACCTGAGGTTGGAACTAACTTCATGGGCTCTCCGACTGTTCCCGACAAAGTGCAACCAAAATCCATTCACGCACCACAAGTGTGATCCATCCACAATTATGCATCAAGTCATATATACACCACATAATGTTATTTAAATGACATGCCAAAAATTCCATTTATTTATTTAAGATTATCTCCCTTTTACCTAAGAACACCTTAATTTTTTTTCAGCTCCTCCAATAAAAATCACCATTATTCATTTTGTTTTTTATAATTTTTCCCTTTATCAACTAACATTTATTCTTTTATCTATCTTTAAAAATTGTTAGTTTATCAAATTATTCTCTTTCTTTTTTTAATTTACACATTAACAATAATTAATTTCAATTTATTTTTATTTTAAATTTTTATCTTTCAGTTGATTTATTATATATATATATATATATTATTTAAAAATGAAAAATTAATGTAAATTCCAATTTTCGCTATTAAAAAAAAGAAAAAAAACATTAAAAAAAAAATTTATAGATCAATATATTTAAAAATTGAATAATGTTTTTGGTGTTTTTGAAATCATGCAAGATTATTATTATTAGTATTATTATTATTATTATTACTTAATATTATTATTATTATTATTACATTAATTATTATTATCATTATTTAAAACTTGTGATTTTAAAGGTTTTGTTAAGTAAAATTAACTATTTTGGTAACTGTTAATTGTTTTAGAAACTTTTCATAAAATGCTAAAGGCTAAAAGTTACATAAATTAACATTCTATAAAACACTAACTTAATCTCTAAAAGTTAGTTAAAATGCTATGTTACCGAATATTATAAAACTACCATCAAAAGCTGTTGCGAACACAATAAAAATAGAAAATAAACAATTAATATTTACTGTATTG